GCCTATATTTCCTTTTAAAAAAGGTACCCTGAGTCTTCTCTCATTTTAAAATGAGACATTTCCCACCCAAAACCAGGCTCTCTCCCGATCATAGATGCCCGTTTCTGTCTCTTCCCCTATTTGGACTCCCAGCATTTCTTTCTTTCTTTTCTTTTTTCTTTTTCCCCAGCATTTCTTTTGTGATTTTCCTTTATCTCCCTTCCTGTGACCTCCGAAGTGCCCTTCTGCTGCGGCTGTCCTCTGGCCCTCCTGGCCGCTCCCTGTCTGCTGGTGTGCAGTGAACAGGCCACTGGGAGGCTGCCTCCAAAGAGAGAAGGGGGCCGAGTCCGAGGACGACGGGATGGTTGGCAGAGAAAGGCGCCCTTCCCACTTGCCTTTTCCCACGCTTGTCAGCGGTATGCATGAGGTGGCGGTCCTGGAGGCAGAGGCGTACACAGAAATCCTCGAAAGTTTAGCAAAATGAAGCACCTGGGGCCTCTCGGGAGGTCCAGAGTGTCACCAGTGTAGACACTGGTGCAGACTCAGGTCTGGAGAGGGCTGGTGGTGACAGGACTTGGATGCCTCTCAGTGAAAAAGTATCTCGATCCTACAATTTTCCAAAAATAGGTGGCTGGGTGAGCACACTGTTAACCCCCTCCCAGGTCTTGGTAGAAGTCTGTGCAAATGAGAGACCCAAGGTTTAGGTTTCATTGACTTCATGGCAAATCTACCCCTGGAGATGCCATTTGAATTGGATTTTGAAGACTGCCCAGGAGTTTGCCAAACAAAGCGAGAAGTGCATTAGCCAGACTGTAAGCTTCTCATAGCATCTCCACGATGGGAGATGAAGTCAGAGGGGTGGTCCAGGGGTTGGCGGCAGGTCCAGTTGTCTTCCCAGTCACATTCCATCACCCAGGGGCCCCATGACCCACGTGCCGAGACGTCAGCTCTTGGGAGGACGAAGCGTTGCTTCGGAGGTGCCCGAAACCCTGGGTGGCATTTGCTAACTGCTAAGCCTAGAGCCTCCACATGGAGGTTTGCAGTGAGTGCCTTATGAGTCCAGGTCTTCATAGAAATAAATCTTGAAAAAATACAATGACGTGGATAAAGCAAGTTGCAGAGCACTGCCACAAGGTGCTCTACTTTCTGGAGGACTCGTAGGAGCCCAGGGAACCTACTGTACTCTGCTCGCTGCTGGGCGCAGCTGCACTCCCAGGAAAACAGCCCTGATCCCCAAGGCGAGGACTCCGCAGCCCCCACAGCACTGTGTCCCGGCAAACCCACAGAACAGAAATACTGCATGTATAAGACTTGCTCTGTATATTCTGTTTTTAAAAGAATATATTTGCTTTGGGGCATAAGCTTAGGATAAGAAGAGCATGTTTTCTGTTCTGCTATGGGTATCGGCTTGCTGCGCATCCGTCCCTGCCCCCACCCCGATCAGCAGATTCACTGCCGCGGTTCCATAGCTGTGTCAGTTGCAGTCCCAAAATATCAGATGGAAAATTCCAGAAATAAAAGATTTGTAAGTTTTAAGCAACTATTATTACAATATATTGTTAAAATCAATTGATTTTGTTATTACTTGTTAATCACACTATGCCTAATTTATAAAATTTCTAAAATTAAGCTTCTTGGCCCATTCTAGGTGTACACAGCAATCGCAGTGATCCCAGGAGCTGGCGCCTGTGTGTGATGTGTCTTGGTTCCTCCCCGCTTCCCTTCCTTGTTTACAAAAGTTGTTTCCATTTTTCCTTCTTTCTCACTCTTTTTCTTTTGCCTCCCACTCCGCAGACCCCTCCCCACATGACCGCTCTCTTTGCTTGTCACAGCGTCTCTTCTGTATTTGCTTCTTATTGTCAGCTTCTCGCCCCAGAGAGACAACATGATGCCTACAGGCCTGTGTCCGATTTCGTTTCCTTAACACGTGGGCTCAGGATGCACCCATTTAACCAGTTCCACAGCACTGCTCACTTGAGAGAGGCAAATGGGAACAGCTCTGAGATCCCATCTTGCCCCAGAAGGAATGGCTGTCATTGAGGAATGGGCCAGTAACAAATGCTGGAGGAGCCGTGGGGAAAAAGCCTTCTCCACTGTGGGTGCAGGTGTGGACTGGCACAGCCACTGTGGAAATCAGTGTGGACAGTCCTCGACAAGCTGGGATTGGAGGTCCCCTTTGACCCAGCTATTTCCCTTCTGGGTATCTTTGTAGAAAAACTCAAAGCTTCATAGCACAGTGATATATACCCACCCATGTTTATAGCGACACAGTTTGTCATGGCTGAACAGCCCAAATGCTCATCAACACATGAATGGATAAAGAAGATGTGAGGTACTTTTTAAAATATAATGGAGTACTATTTACCCTTTAAGAAGAATGAGCTAATTTATAATTGAAACTCTATGATGGCTACGTATGTCTAGAGAAACACTCTGTACATACAGGGCTCAGTGGTGTCTCCACTTTGAGGCATCTTCTGGAGCCAGGGGCTGTGACGCTCAAGGACAAAGAGGGATATCTGCAGATGGAACATGAGCACACAGGGAGGGGTGGGGCCTCTTCAGTCCCTGGGTCAGCCTCAGTAGGCCTGGACCTTGCTGGCTGAGCCCTCTGTGTTCAGATTCGTGCAAGGCCATTTCTGGATTCTGATGAGTTCTCCGCAGGCCAAGCGCCTGCCTGGCTTCCTCATGCCCTGCTCAGGGCATGTAGGTCTGTGCCGCCCTGCCACCCCTCACAGCTCCCAGCCACCTGCCCTCCCAGCCCGCACTGCCCTGCTGGCTGGACTCAGACCCAAGAGAGGCCCACTTTCCTCCTCTTTCAGGTCTCACCCTCTGCTTTTGAGCTTTGGGACCCAACAGCTGTCAGATGGGGGCTGATGCTGGTTCTGCCCATGTGTCCCAGCTCACTGACTCCTGATACCCAGAGGACAGATCTGTCACCCAGAGGGTTCACAATGGGTGTGCACACTCACGCACACACACACACACACACATGCAGCACATGTGTGTTCCCAGTGTGCAGCCACTGTGTGTTGTGGGGAATCCAAGGGGCCACAGCAGCAAGGGGTCCTGGTGCCTGTAGCTAAAAGCCTGTGGCTGGGGCTTCACCAGGGGCTGGGACACAGGGTCCTCCTGGGAGTAAGGCTCTGAGCCTCCCTAGACCCCACCTTTTGGCGAACCCCTGGGCTTTGCTCTGTGCCATGGAGTAAAGTCTGGTCCATCAGCCTCGGGCCTTTGACTGCAGTGTGTCAGCAACCTTCGCTTTTTGCTGTTTTTTTTTCTTCTTCTTTTTTCTATTCTTTCCTCTTTCTTCCCCCCCCCCATTTTTTCTCTTTTTTCTATTCTTTCCTCCTTTTTCTCTTTTTTCTTCTCTAGACATTCTTTCCTGTATGGTTTATCTCCTCACTCACTGCTCAAAGGACTCTGAGAAGTTGTAGGAATATGCAGGTGTAGGCATGGGGCCATTTTTTTTCTCCAGTATTGTAGAAAGGGATTGTGCATCACATGACAGAGCTGTATGCTACCCTATGCCACTTGGACAGAGCCCAAGGAGTGTGACCTCCCGAGGTATCCACATTGGACACTTTTTTCTCTTTAAGAAGAGTTCTCACCCAGCCATGGTGGTGCACGCCTGTAACCCCAGCACTCTGGAGGCTGAGGCAGGAGGATTGTTGAGAGTTCTAGGTCAGACTGGGCTACCTGGTGATTCAAGGTCAGACTGAACTGCACAGTGAGGCCCTGTCTCAGAAAGACAGGAGAAGAAGAAGAGGAAGAAGAAGAAGAGGAGGAGGAGGAGGAGGAG